CGATACTTTTGATATCAATTGTTCAAACTTAAAATATGAAATGATGAATACATATAATGAAAAATATGATAAAAGAACTTAATTTTGAAAGTATAAAAATACATCTAAATGAAGAAGTATTTCCTAATTTATTTAAAACTATGTGAGCGGCAATCACATTACTAGGGACCTCGGCCACTTGTGACAGGTCCTTTTMATCTATGAGAAAGATCAACACACATGTCCAAGCTAACATAACTCAGGGCCGATTTACTAATTAAGTAATATTAAATATCGAAAAAAATATTATAGAAGATAATGGAATAACATTAAACATATTTGCTAAATCCAACCGAAAAATTAAGTTCTAAAAATGTGTTAGGTATACATTTATTAAAAATTGTGTATAAATAAAAAATGTATGATAAATGATAATAATATAGGTATACCTGTCCTAAAATTGTATTTAAGTAGATTTACTCTGGAATTTTGTTGTCAATTTTTTTATTTTTTATTAATATGTTATAAAATAAAATATAAATAGTTTAATAGTCTAATCAATTTAGCTATATTTTATTAGGGTATGAGCAGTTAAAAAAAGGCGGGAAAGTGGGTATCGCTCTGCTGTACATTAGGTGGCGGGGTGGACGGTGGACATCTGACTAGGGTAGGTTAGATTTGAATGCAATGATAGGTATCACTGTACCTATACGAAAAACGATTCTGAACGGAGATGATTTGTCAGTCTAGGATAGGTAGTAGGATATATTATATTTAAATATTGTCATCATATATTCTATTTTGAAACAAATATTTTATTTTTCAATTAAGACGCATTTTGCATAAGGCATGGTTAATCAATTTTTCCAAAAACATTGCCTGTACTTATCATAATTCATAATAACTTATATTATCATAGATATATACATACACCTGGTTTGAGGATAAATCATTATCATTACGCGATTTCATAAAAATTTAAAACTTAAACGCTCAAAACATTTTTCCTATAATGACGCTTCAAATTTTTTCTAAAGCTATTTGAAGCTAAACTTATGGAAAACATAGTGTTGAATTTTATAACCTTAGTCCTTAGATATAAATACAAACAGTATTATGCATTTTGAACTACAAAATAATTTGCAAATATTCATGGTGTTGACGAATTTTTGTCAATATTTGAACTTCAAATGCTAATAAAAAAAAATTGTGCCTATGTATTCTTATAATT